AAAAGTATGTATACTATACCTACTGACATACATGTAGGTATGGCCCTCTCTCAGCCCTCTCATTGCAAACCATTCATATTGGTGGCCAAACTGTGCAGAAATATCACCATTTGCTTGCATCAGATTTTATTCCAAAATGTATATTTTTTTCCATTTAGTTGAAACAATCATCTTTTCTTTTTAAAGTATCAGTTGAAGTTACAAATGTTTGGTGTTTTGATACTTACGTGAAAGTTTCTATACTCAGCGATTATTTTTACTTTTCACCTGTCAGGCAGCCATAGTTTCACCAACCATTCCACAATAGACAAAAATATGGCAATGAAATAAAGAGAGCAGAGTCTCTACACATACACCACAATACTGGAAGCTATATACAAATTCATTTTCTTTACACTTTGACATGTATGATTTACCAACCATCTCCACAACTGAAGGATCCAGGAGTCATTTTGGAAATTTTGTCAATTTTGGTAGTACATGTACATGTTGTACGTCTATGCCTTAAATTAAATGTGGTATACCTTAAAGCCTGTTCATACTTCAAGCAAGTGACATACGCAAGGTGAATTTGACTTCACAAAACCTCTTCAGCAACTTTCGCTGAGTTGAAATATGTTCAACTTTTGTGAATTTGCATATTCGACATAAAACAATTGTGCCGAGTACATTGTGTGAGCCTACCCCTAGAAGTTAACTGTGAGGCTCATCATCTGCCTCTCTGAGCAATAAGGCATACGGACGACACAGTCAAGAATCCATGAACCAGGGAAAGATTTCCCAATCCTGCTTCCACTCATCTTCCTTAAAACAGCTTGATAACCACCCAAAAGTTTACATCTGATGAAGACATACTAATTTAGGAGTGAAAAAATTTCAAGGGTTGTTTGTAAGTTGGCCTAATGACATTAAACATTTTTTCTCATAGCCCATAAGCCTACCAATGCTTAAGATGGTAGCTTAGATACAGATCTCTTTCCTGAAGCAGCCTTACAGTGCTGACATCATCACATGACCAAGTACCCCACATACACATATGAGCATGTACCCCTACTGTGTTCATTCCATGCTCAACCTCTCTTTAGGAGAGGCGGAGTGCATGACAAACGCTGTGACAATCCTCACACATCTGCATTCTCTTGTGGCCATATGACATGTGATGTATCAAAATATTAATAATGAGCTCGCGAGCAGACATACGATGCTTAAAAACCGTCTCCAAGTATAATCCAATGGGAAATATTCCACATTTTTATTTCAAAATGAGTTGATTTGTGTTGTTCGAAATTACCAACCTATTTGCGTTATTTGGACAGTCAGTTAAGGCCTGTATGGATGAATTCCTCCATCTTGCCGGTATTGGGGGTGGGGGAGGGAATGGGGCAAGGTGGAGGTGCAAGACTTGCCAGGCCAAAAAAATTGAAAAGTGAGGTGGGGGATAAAACCATGAGACACTGTAAGAGGTCAATGTTCGTGACATTGATGTATATCTGCAGTATCTGTTGTACGCTTATGCAGCATATCTTATGTACATCA